GAGGCCGAGGCGGGTGGATCACGAAGTCAAGAGATGGAGACCATCCTGGTCAACATGGTGAAACCCCGTCTCTACTAAAAATACAAAAAATTAGCTGGGCATGGTGGCGCGTGCCTGTAGTCCCAGCTGCTCAGGAGGCTGAGGCAGGAGAATTGCCTGAACCCAGGAGGCGGAGGTTGCGGTGAGCCGAGATCGCGCCATTGCACTCCAGCCTGGGTAACAAGAGTGAAAAAAAAAAAAAAAAAGAAAACAAAATCAAATAACAGAATGAATGCTGGGCTTGGAATGATTCTAAAGATGATGCCATTTGATTGTAAAACTCAAGTAATGAAAGCCTAATAGAAAATGCAAAGGGCCAATAAATAGGTGAAAAGATTCTGCCTCACTAGTGGTCAGAAAAATAAAAATTAAATTGCAATGTAACAGAAAAGATTAAGAAAAAGTAAAAAGATAATCATACAAGCCTGGTGAAGATGTGGGGAAAAACACAATCTGATGTATATTTGGGAATGTTATTTCTTCCAGACAGAATCTGAACAACCAGAATGTGTAGGGTGCAAAGGATTCTGGGAGAGGAAGTTGTTGGAGAACATCTGTCATCAACTGTCATTGCCATTTAGGTACTGAGACAATATATTTAGTTCCTTATGTAGTGTGCAGTGGCAGTTTAGCTCAGCAGCAGTCAGGCTACTTTCCCTGTGTTTTGCCTCCTGCTCACATCCAGAGCCCACTCCAGCAGCAGATCTCAGGGTTATCCAACTGGAAAAAGCAATGCTAACTCACCCAGCTCTATCTGGAAATCCTTATCATCTGGCAAGTCAAAAAGTTCTACCCTCCTTGGATAGGAGCCTTCCCACCTATCATTTACTGAGGGCTCACTGGTACTAGGCACAGCATTTCACTTGCTCAGATTGTCATTTTGTCTTCCAACAATCCTACAAAATAATTACTATTTATATCCTTATTTTGCAGATGAGAAAATTGAAGTCCAGAAAGTTTAAATGTCTTTTCTAAGGACACCCAGCATGTAATTAGCAATAGAGATCCTGATTTTTCTGGTTTAGGAGTCTTACCTGGGTGTTAAAGAGAAGTTTTGGGCCAGGTGCGGTGGTTCATGCCTGTAATCCCAGTAGTTTGGGAGGCCGAGGGGGGTGGATCACCTGAGGTTGGGAGTTCGAGACCAGCCTGACCAACATGGAGAAACCCCATTTCTAATTTTGTAAAAATACAAAATTAGCCGGGTGTGGTGATGGGTGCCTGTAATTCCAGCTACTTGGGAGGCTGAGGCATGAGAAACCTGGGAGGCGGGGGTTCTGGTGAGCTGAGATCACACCATTGTACTCCAGCCTGGGCAACAAGAGCAAAACTCCATTTCAAAAAAAAAAGAGAGAGAGGTTTGGAGAGTGAAGACGTATTTACTTGTCTACCAATTTCCTCCTCAGGGGGACGTTGCATCTGAATAGATCCTTGTGGAACTGGCTAGTGGGTGGGAGGTAAGCCCAGTCCTAGTGACACCTGCACCTGAGCCTGAGTCCCCAGCTGGCATCCTCTCATCTCTGAGGCACTGCATCTTTCCCTGCCAGTCACTGCCAGCCCCATCTGTATATTGGTCCCTGTGCTGCCTCCACTGCCACTGCTGCCACCTTCTGGAGTCTGGCCTCTCTGCCCAAGTTGGTGTCAGGGGCCATGCCAAGGCCCTTCTAGTGCTCTAATTTTGATGCATTATACCTTCTGCTTCTTCCAAGAAAATGGTCACAATCTCAACATGTTCATCTCACTTTACTCTCTTAAATTTGGGCCCTTAGGGCTGCTATCTATCAGCTCCCTCCCTGTGTCCCATGGAGTAGAAGAGAGAAGTCTTCCTCCTCCTATGGCAGAGTTTATGCTGTCCGTTCTCTCATAGACATGCTGGGAGAGGCAATACAATGGTTCATGGATACAGGAGGGACTCTGACCCCACCAAGATTCCCAGCCTCTTGATATGGACATGGCACAGTGCACCTAGGCTTATGGTGCTTGGCCCAGGCATTCACCAATCAAACTTTAGGAGAATCTTTCATGAATATGAATCAACAATGAATATCAAGGTTGACACTCGCCCACTCTAACTTTAGACAAAGAATCAGGGCACTTGGTATCATGAAGAATTGTTTCAAGGAGATTAACCAAGTAAAAAGTTGAGGACTTCCAGCCTGAGCCCCGGCCAGGTAACAGATGGAGGAGGGGACCATCCACAGGAACGCTCTGCCATTATTGGGGCATCCCTGTCCAGAGTGGGTTCACTAGGAGACAGAAAGAAACAGGTATCAGGGAGAAGGTGCCACAAAAGGAAGGCTGCGGGCCCTGGAGGCAGAGGAAGCAAGGCCCTAATGTGTGTTTGCCCGAGGTGGAGGAAAGCGATTTCACTTGAATGAGAGGCAGAGACTGAGAAAGGAAAAAAAAAGTTGGAGGAAAAAGAAAAGGAACATGCTGTGACAGTAGAGATTTATTTTTACGTTTAAACATTTTATAGAAAAGACAAAGAGGTGGGAAGAAGGGGTAACAGAGAACTAAGGCTGATGGGTCCCCTGTGGGGAGGTGTCCCCCTCCGGGGAGAGGGTGCCCAGGGACCCCATGAGGAGGTTGGGCACCTCCACTCTGGGGCCTGGGATGTCAGTCATCATGGGCAAGGCAAGTTGAGAGGCGCATTTGCTGCCGCTTTTCCATGACTTCACCTTATCCTGAACACCAGGTCAGGAGGCCGGTCCCAGAGGGCTGGGGATTGCCTAGAAGTCTGTACTTTCCCCTAGGCACTTACTTTTCTTCCCACTAGGCAACTCACACCCCTAGGCTAAGGAGTCTTAACACAAAGATTACCTCAAGGTTAATTATTTAATTCTACAAACAAGAAAAATAATGCAGTAAAGGAAAATGCAAATAATATATCTGAGAAAACAGTTCTTGACTTTAAAAAGAGAAAATGGAAAACACCAACTCTTTCACTTCAGCTATAAAAATAGTACTTTTTTGATAACAATGTGTATTTTAAAAAATAAATAAATAAAATGGTCTTTGTGGACTCTTGGGGCCAAGGAGAAAGAGCACTGGGCCAGGAGCAAAGTATTTACCTTCTGGCAATGGACTCCTCACACACCTGCTGGGTGGCTGTGGGTACGTTGTTTACTCTCTGGTTTTGTTAATTCCTCTATAAAATGATGACAGGATACTTAAGTTCTCCTCCAGATTTAACTTTGTAATTGTGTTATAAATTTTTAAATTAAAAATTGTACACTACTAACTGCATCATTATTAGAATATCTAGAAAGTATTTCCCAATATTGACAAGAGAATGAAGTTGCTGTAAGATTGTGTTTGTCATAATACGTGTCAATTCACCTGCGTTCTTTCAAAAGCCATCGTCACTTTCCATCACTCCTTTACTCATGCACTGTGTTCACTCTTTCTCCTGGTGACTGTTTCCTTCCACAAGCAGCATTAAAGCTGCTTCTTATTAGAACCTTCTTTAAAGGGGCAAAATATATTCCCCACAAAAATCCAACTAGGATCGACTATTTTGGGTAAAGCAATGACATAACAAATTTTAAGACTCAGTTTTGAGCAGCAGTTTCCACCCCCTGTGTGTATAATCAAATCACCACTCTCATCCATTTTATTTGCCTTTTCATAGGTCCCCATAACCTCAGGCCCTAGTCTGCTAAGTAATTTTCCTCCCATCAAGCCCATTTCTACCAATGCTGCATGCACAGCACTACACACTTTTTCTTTTCTAAAACACTGCTTCCACCCTTCACCATCTGCATTGATGCAGGATAAAGTCCAACACCTTGATCTAGCCCTCGGACCTTTCTTTCTGCCCTGGTCTGTGTCTCTAAGCAGATCTAGCCACCTGTACTCCCTTATATAGCTTATTTCAGCCTCCCTGTTCTAGGCACATTCCTCTTCACTTACATGAAACATCTCCCACCTCCACGCAGTTCACTCTGTCAATCAAACCCTAGTCATCTTTCCAAACTCAGCTGAGACTCCCACCCACTCTGTTTAGCAGCTTTCCCTGAACTCTGCATCTTGAAGGGCACTATCTCTGCTTTGTAAGGTACACAGCCTGAAGCAGCAAAAGAAATGACTAAATTATACTTAGAGATATTTCCCAAGGGGCTTGGATTTCCTTAGCAGGGTGAGTTCATTTTTAGTCGGCATGAGCTTAAGCTCTCCTTAAAACATGGCCAAATGAGACAGGAGTCAAGAATACAAAAGGAGGTCCCTGCCCAGTCTCCCACACTACAGGGCTGGGGAAGCCCGAGGTGAGCCGGCTTCCTGGGAGTTGGAGAATGTGAGGAAGGGGCAGAGGCTGTTGGGCCTGGGATTAGAGGCAGGGATTCAGATTGCACCAGTGGATGCTGCTGTGGGTGGCTTCACCTTCACTTACCAAGTGTGGTCATCTGGGTCCTGACTATTATGGTTTTCTACCTTCTACCACCTCCACCCTCAAAAAAATCTTTTTAGAGTAATTAGAAGAGGTTTGGTGAAAGTTCAATTCCCTAAGACCCTAGAGGTACGGCTACTTGGGTTTTTTTCCCTCCAGGGTAAAGCATAATTTACTCTTAATCCTTGCCCCAGTAGACCAAAAGAAACTTTTCGACACTCTGCAAGTGGTCGTTTGGCTGAGGCCTGATACCCACAGCATTCAGATAACTTGCCTTGGTGATAATGAAAATGATAATATAATTAACACATTACAGAGCTCTTACCATGTGGTAGACACTGTAAGTATTGTCACTCATTCATGCATTGAATGCTCATACAATGGTTACCATTACCATTCCTGTTATATAATTGAGAAAACTTTTAGTGTCAAAAGGTTAGCTGCTTTGCTCCAAGTCACACAGCTACTAACTATCAGAGTATAGCCCAATAACTAAGGTTTTCATTTTGTTTTGTTTCAATTTAGAAGAGCCTTCGCCAAACCTTTTCTACCAAGAGGCCAGGGGACAGAAACTCACATATTTGTAGTAGGCAGAGTCTTCAACACTCTCCTAACTTTTCCTCTTACGGCATCCTCTGGGATCTTAGGGCCTCTCATTACCTGAAATATGAAAATAGCCTGTTTAATTATTCATTTTCCATCACCTTTAATGAGGGGATTAACTGTCTAGCGAAACAAAAGGAAATAGTCTGATCTTTAGGCTGTATAAAAGTGATAATTACTAAAACCTCAAGTCGGTTTAAAGGAATAAATGAAAGGATTTTACTGATCTGGATGCAAATGAGTCATCAGGGTCACTAATTGAAGTCACATAATGGAGCAATGACAATGAGAAAATAAACATGTGCTAAAAATAATGTCTCCTTAATTATGTGCACAGGTGCTCTACAGAGTTTCCAAAGCTCCTTTACCTTACCTGATGTCTTAGGGTTTTGAGTTTGGGTGCAGAAAGGGTAGCAGGGCTGTGGCTTGCTGGGAAGACAGAGGAGGAAAGTCTGTGGGCATGGAGCAGGAGTCAATTCTGTCTCAGGTGTGGAAGAGGATCAGGAAAGTAGAGGCTAACTTAGATCTATTAATCACAACTTCAAGAACAACTGGTTCATTTTTCATTACTTGGCTGATTGGTTTGACCAAAAGTTACTGTGGGAATGATTCATGGAACCATTCCGCTGCACAGCATGTAAACTCAGCCTTCTAATCTAGACCTTTGCTATTAAAATGGTCATAAATAGCTGCGAATTACTACTGCTGTGCAACTCGTGACTTCATCATGGCTTCTGGCAGAGCAGATGGGAGCTACATTCCAGGTCTTGCTGTAGTGCCCATCTTTCCCATAGCATTTAATGAGCACAGGGTGTTAGGTGCTGCACAGATGACAAAATGGCATTCTCCTTGCCCTGTTCTCTTCCAAGGTAAGACATTTTTAAATGGCCATAAAGCCTTGAAAGTCTTCACGCACTGATAGTGCGTGACATAAATATATATCTGCTCAAAATATGGCAAATGCATCACTATTAATAACTCAAAGAGTCATGGGGATTCAAACAGTCCGATTCCTCTGCCAAAAGTTCAGAATGTTTGCTCAGTGCTTTGATTTTTTTTTTAACTCTGTTCTCGGTTTGCTTCAGTACATTTCCTATTTAGACACTCCACCGAGTGTGTGTCAAACTTTATCTGTGACCTTACTAGGACATAAGAGAGCATACAAGACAGGAATGAAAGGCCTTTAACATTATCGGGATTTTAAAAATTGTGCTTGTTTAACAAATATTTTCCATTTCTCTCTACCATAGCAACCATTACCTTCACCATATATGCAAAAATGGCTAAAGGAAAAGTGAGGAAACTCTTCTAAGCTACTTATACTGGTAATTATATTGTATTATTAGCTATTTCTTGAACAATAACTGTTTCCAGTCACGGCTCCTACACGTCATTGCTAAGCCTCTATGTTAAGTTAATAATCAATCCTACAAAGCAGGTGTTATTACCATTTTACACAACAAGCCTCAGCAGTTAAGTAACTGGCCCAAGCAGACAAACAAGGGACTCTCAGGACTGCAACTCAAACCCAAGGAAGGCAATTTAGCTTGCATCATATGAAACTGCCAGTAGTCAATCATTTCTGACCAAAAATGGGAATTTTATGGTTCAACCTAATACCAAAATGTGTTGCCCCTGAAAGGAAATCTAGACACTCCTCCTGATGTCAGAAAGATGCTTTGCAGATTGCCAGCATGTTGGATGGAAAACTGTATAACACAATACTGGGGTTAAAGGGATGGGGGAATGGGAATGTATTTGATTATCCTTGCAGCAATTACTGTTATTACAAGTAAAGACATGATGTGAAACTGCAAAAAAGTGGCAAAGTCTATCAATATATCTGCATTTTTGAATACATCCTATCTGAAATATATTTACATTTTTAATACACTTATATTTTTTGGATATACTCTATCTGAAAGTTTCTACATGTAATCATGCTCACCAGACTTTTCTAAGCATTGAAATGGCTTCTAGTATTTAAAAGCTAATGATGTTAAAATATGATTTTGGTAGACCATGCGTTTTAATGAATAGCTAGTTGACGAGTCTATAACGTGGATGTATTAAAAGGATAATTTGGTAAGAGCAATTTAGTTTCTTGGGAACTACCTGGGAGTCAATATCACAGTGCTTTAGAAAGAAGCTATTGTTTAGGACAAATGATTTATCTGAGTTCTATCTTAGAAATAATGCATATTTCAAATCTTCCTTTTAACTCACAGTTTTTTTCCATGTAATCTATATTACAATATATTTGATTATATTTTCCCATATAATCTTCATATAATCATAATGGGAAAGGGGGCTCATGATGATAATTGCATGGAAGATATCAGATTTGAGATACTGAAGAGTACACTTGATTTTAGTTTCCAACTCAGTGTTTTGAATGGAAATCTGAACTAACACCAAGTTAATGATAGCTTTACTATATTACCTGTGAAGCCAAAAAAATAACTGAAAGGGAGAGTGCTTGAAATGGAAGAATTCCTAATATCTTTTTCAGTATAATGATAAGCACATAGAAGAAAAAAGACTAGACTATTCATTGATGGATGGATGGATGATTCAGTTGGTTTCTACATTAACAATGACTCATGCTGTAAAATTGGAATGTTTAGAAAATAAATCCTACAATTGTACCAGAAAAGACAAGAACATAATATGATAGAGATCCAAGCATGCCAAAAACATTTTCTTTTATTTCTGTATATGACTTTTGAGTGTTCTGAATACTACCCTTGCCTTCTATGATATAGAAAAGGGAAATAAAACATTAATCACAGTCTGTCAAAAACTGTGGTCCTTTCTGAATGAAAATAATTCTTCTAAAACAGATTTATGAATAGTCCTAGATTCAAGAGTTTCTATTAATATTTCCTCATTGGCCTTAAATAGAATTTGTGAGAATGGCCCTTTTTCCAAGTAAGTAAACACTGCACAGTGTAGTCGCTTGGAGCCACTGGGTTTATACACCTGTGCCTGCATTGATGCAAATGTGCTCTCTGTCTTCTGTGTCTTCATCGGAAAGTCAGCATGATGAATGGCATGGAATGGACTGGAGTCTGAGAAACTATGGGCTGATGCTGGAGATGCCCAGATGGAATGGGAGGTAGGGCAGAATTGAAAGTCCCTTTCAATTGCTGATACTGGCTTCTTTTTTTTTTTTTTTTGAGACGGAGTTTCGCTCTTGTTACCCAGGCTGGAGTGCAATGGCGTGATCTCGGCTCACCGCAACCTCCGCCTCCTGGGTTCAGGCAATTCTCCTGCCTCAGCCTCCTGAGTAGCTGGGATTACAGGCACGCACCACGATGCCCAGCTAATTTTTTTGTATTTTTAGTAGAGACGGTGTTTCACCATGTTGACCAGGATGGTCTCGATCTCTTGACCTCGTGATCCACCCGCCTCGGCCTCCCAAAGTGCTGGATTACAGGCTTGAGCCACCGCGCCCGATACTGGCTTCTTTAATCAACACTTTATCAATATGACTGGGACATCTCTAAGTCTTTTTTTTCCCCCAAGACCAAGAAAAAGCTAATACAAATTTCTTGTCTTCCTCATTCTCTTCAGTTTTAGGAGGTCTCACAGAAGTGCAAGGACACACAGAAGTGCAGAGGGAGTGGCAAAAGGGAAAAGGAGGGTTTTTGAGGAGGTGTTATCTGAATATTCAGCCCAAAAGTTTTCAAAATATTCACTCTCAGAGAAGCAGAAGGAATATCCATTAGAATTATATGTAGAACATGTATCCATTCAAATGAGTGTTGTCTCTGTTAGTGTGAGAGCAGTGAGTATACAACGACAGTGGAGACAATCCTCGTTTTCAAGGCATTTACAATGGACAGAAGAGCTTATATAGTAAGTGGTGAATGGAGTGTGGGAGGAAGGAAAAGCTTTATGTGTGATGGTAAGTAGCCATCTAAATGGGGATAGTGAGTGATCTGCTACTGAGGTAATAGAATGTGTTCTGGTGCCCCTCTTGAAATAGATTACAACTGATGCCAAAAATGGTATTGTGAATTGTTATTCCTTACCGTTTCATGTGGCCTTCTCACTGCTGTGCTCTTCTAAAATGTTACTGGAAGAGTCAGCAAACTCAGTATTTGACAGTGTGAAAGTTTTTCAGATCCCGTTCTTCCTTGACGGGAGAGAAAAGGGCCAAGCTGAAGCACCTAGTTCCCAGGAGAGTAGGGGACAAGGAAGTCCCTTGGTCGGAATTGATTGGTTGCTAGGAATCAAATCTCATTCAAATTAACTCAAATTAAAAACAGGAGTTAACTGTAAAGATAAAGCCAGCAATTTTGCAGACTCCAGCAGGAAACAAAGTCCAGCTGGACTTCACAGTGACCAAAGCTGGGAAAGGAAGAGTCAGAAACTCAGGTCGATTGATCTCTAGTCTCTGACTCTTTCTCTCCTTTCTTTTTGGTTGTTTCTCTATTGACTGTCTTTGCTTTCAAAAAATATTATTATTATTAATTCCCTGTGAGTGTTGCATACTCTTTACTTTTTAAAAGCATATCTAATTTCCTTTCTCGATAGACTTTGGCTTTGTCTGTTTATTAATAATCTTGCTCTTAAGCAGCTATGATTGTCCTTGACTTCAGCTTGCATTGGCGCCAACCTCAGCCCTCGCTGGACAGTAGTGCTCAGCTGCAGTCCACAGTTACTGGCTGTAGTTTCCATAACTTGGCTCAGAATCATAAGAGAGAGTCTGATTGTTGTGGCCCATGAGTCTAGCCCTGGTCTCATCGGAGTGGGGCAAGGCAGACATGGGGTGGGGACAGGGCCACTTAGGCTTGTTCTTTCCAGCAGTGACTGTGAATAGCAGGAATTCTCTGAGATGGGAGGCAGCATACATGCACCAAAGCATGTCAACTACTAACCCTCCTTTTCATAGACTGGCATGGGGCAAGCCTTATGTGAAAATGGCAGGACCTTATTTGCTATGGCATAAACTAAGGATAGTGTTTGGAGCATGGATAGCAATTTGGTTTCTGGTTCTTCTTCTGCAAATTGCACAGAAAATAAACTGCTGCTCTAATAATGGCACAGCA